TTCTGGGAGTTGAAGTCCACACATCTTAAAGTTGCTGAGGTTGAGAAACACTGAATTAGTGGCACGTGAAGATGACTGAGGAGGGAGCAATTTGATTTCAGGCAGGGCCTCTGCTTTTTATATATGTTAAGACCCCCAATGCACATTTTTTTCAACAAAACCTCCCTTCATTCCTTAATGAAATGTTGTAAAGTCTGTTTTAAAAATCGCCTTAGAAATGGCTTGGGGTGAGCTGTGTGTGCGCTGTGTGCTGGGGAAAATGGGCGTGTGGTCTCAGACGGGGCGTTGGCGAGGGGTGATGGAAGCCTTGCCCCTTGTTACAGGCAGTGCCCGCGTGGCAATGCAAGAGGGGCAGAGCTTTGATGGCACCCCCTGGCTTTTTTGACGCCCCCAATCTCAGAGTCCAGTTACCTTTGCCAACAGCCTGCCAAATAGCTAACGGTCTGCTCTCTCCAGGATCTTCGGTTTCCCACTTCACTACACCGACGTGTCCAACATGAGCCGCCTAGCGCGCCAGAAGCTGCTCGGGAGGTCGTGGAGCGTCCCGGTCATCCGCCACCTGTTTGCCCCCCTGAAGGATTACTTTTCCTGCGATTAGGCTGCAGGGCTCCTCCGGTCTCCTCAGATAACACCCCCGGGCGGAGGGAGAAGAGCAAGCCAAGGAGACCCTCTCCGCAGAAAGGTTCTTTCAATCCTCGGTGACTTTCTTCAAAGCTCGCAAGGCCTTTGCGTTCCCGTTGTGCCAAAAAACGTTGGGGAGCCGCGAAGGCAGCGTTCATCCCTCGTGCCGTGCGGAGGAGACGCGGCAGTTCGGCAGCTGCGAGAAGAAAACCCAGACTTCAGATAGGAAGCTTGCATGATCCAATCCCTAAGAAACCCCAACTGTAGCAATGAGCCAGCTTGACTCGTGTTTCATACACTATTCGCACTGGAAAAATGGGAAGATTCCTTTTCTTTTTCTTTTTAAACCTTTTTTTTTAAAGAAAGTAAAACTTGTGGGGGTGGGGAAGAGACTTTTAGAGCTGCTTGCAGCATGATGGGACGATGTGGAAAGGAGTTTGGCTGAAATAAAGCCATGCGATAATCATCCTGAATGGAACAAAATGGAAAAGTAAGCCTGCGATATGCCTCTGGGTATACTTTTAAACTACACTATGCTTTCAGTGCAGAGAAATGCATTCAGGGTATTTTACTGGAAAGAACACCCTTCTTTTCAGCGTGCCTCGATTTCTTTTTGCAGCGAGCAAGAGCTGTGCGGGAGCATTTGCACAACCGTAGTCCCTTCAGAGGCAGGGACATTCCCAGCGGGCAGTGGAGGGAAAGGGGAACAACAGCATCGCGCTCACCAAAAAGAAAATCTACAGTTGTTTACGGTGGTTTGGCCAGAAAAGACTCCTTCCCTCTGAAGAACCGTACCGATGGCTCGGTCCTCTTGACGGAGAAACAGTTAAAAGCTGCTGGAAGATTCTCGCCCTGTGGCTGCTTTGCCTTGTTAGGCCCCCAGTGGACTTCATCGGGTCTGGCCCTAATTGATGCTGCTATTTTCATGGTGAATGTTGATCGTTTCCTCCACTGTCAATACTTTATAACCCCGATTTCGTCGGACGAGGGCGAGAGTTTGGCAGAATCGATTCCGCCACCTGGGGGATAAAGGCATCCTGTGATTTTTGTAGGCTTTACTGGACCCTGTTCTCTCATTGCTACCATCTGCTAATCAGAAACCATACCGCAATACTGGCAATCAGCTTTTGCACGTTCACCTCTGTGGGCAGCTGCGCATCGAAGCCGCATGCTTCTCGGTGCCTCCTGGTGTCTGGGACGAACCAAATCGGGTTAATTGCGTAGGATGTGACTGAATGATCCTTTCCATTCCCTGCTGCCAGGATGTCATTTGTCAAGAAAGAGATTTCTCCAGAGGAAGCAAATCTTTCCTCTCCGCGGTGGCAGAAACAGAAGTGCCCGCTTTGCCCTTTGAACCAACAACCTTTCTTGCCTTTGGAGACGGGGGCTTGACTTGGACGTCAAGGTTGCCAAAGTCCCTTAGGAAACACACCTTGGATTGCAGATTGTCAATCGGTTAGGGACATCTCTTGAGTCAGCCGCCGCAGAAGAGGGACCGCCGTACAGAGCGATCGCAACCCTACGCTCATGCGCCGCTCCTGCTGTGTTCATTTCACTGAGGGCAAACAGCGGCTCTCGGTGGATTCTCCTTCCCCTTCTTTGTCAGTATTTGAGGTGGTCGAATGAATGCCAGTTCATGTTATCCAACAATGCACTAAGGGCCTTGAACTCCAGAAAGTATTGCATCAACGGGAGGGGTGAAAGGTGTGCCCAAATCCAGGTGGGTCCTGTGCCAAGAGGGCTGCCCCAGCCACGGCCTGGCTGGGGGCTCCTCTCTCCATCTCTTCGCCTGGCTTCCCTTGCCCTGTGAAGTATGCCTGCTGCAATTCTCGAGCAGCGGGCATCAGAATGAATCCTCCTCTGCTTCGGGAGCCCCTCTTTGAATGATGAGTCTCAGGGACAAGCAAGCGCCGATATTCACTGTTTGTAAATGAATGCCAGTAATTTAGAATAGGAGTAGAGATTCCTTGGAAGACACTTACCGCTGGAGTACTGAATTCCTGAGCCGCTGAATCCCTGACCGTATGGGGTGGCGTGTGTGCACACGTGCACGAGTGCTATTGGCTATACCTCTGGGTGTTGAACAATCATAACTCTATTATATGTGATGTGTATTTGCTGGTTTGACTTTTGGACTGTTCACTCTGAGAGCACTGAATCCTCTGTCCTCTGAAAGGGTCTGAACACCGAACGCTACGAGCAAAGGAACGGGGCCAACAGGGAACGCACCGCGGCCCCCCCTTGTCCGTGGAGTTCAGGGGTTGGGGTGGAAATGTGGATGCTGGTAGTTCAGTCAGCCACGTGTGCCTTCTGCTTCTCTCCCCTTCTTTTTTCCCCCCCTTTCAAGGGCAGACTAGCAAATCTCCCATCTTTGGTCTCCAGTAAGATTTCTATTTTATCCCTTCCTGTTCGTAAGAAAACATTAAAACGAGAACTCTCCGGATGAGAGGAGGATGAGCGTTGGGAAGCGAAAGAGTAGCAAGCCACGTTTTTACGGCATTTTTAAGAGAGAACATTTCCAAGATGTTTAAAAGACCTTCCCGTTCTCATATTGGTGCTATGTTTTTAGACTTTTTAATGTCAAAACGGTGTGTGCTTTTATATAATCTTTTTTTTAAAATAAAACTCTACCTTTTTTCTCCCCCTTCTCTTTTAATGAGCTTCCTGGAACTGAAGCTCAACCCCAAAGCGGACAACCGTAACTGAGCCTTTTGTGTGGGTGAGAAAACCAGTTTTTTCTTTTGTGTTTTAGTGCTGGAAACCAAAAGGAATGGTTTTGACACAAGTTTACCTTGAACATTTATCACGGTTTGATTAAAGTCAGTGTTCTTCTATAACTCAGCGTTGCCCCTTGTTTTTATTAGGGGATGGTGATAAATGGACCAGCGGATACGGAGGCTGGGTTGTGCCTCCTGCTTCTCCTGAAGGTAGATGGGGCCAAAGAGCATCGACTCGTGCTGTCCTTCCCAAACCTGGGAAATCAGATCTTCGTGAAGCTCCACTTCTTCCTTTCTTCAGTGGGTGGGAAGGGTACAGTGGGGGGAGGGTCTCTCCCCTGCCCATGGTTTGCAGCTGTGAAGGGCCCTCTGGTTCACATCGTAGGAGTCCTGCAGGGGTTTGAGAGGGGCTGTGTACTGAGCTGGCCAAGTTTGTAGGTGACACCAAACTATTTGCCACAGGGAAGAGGACAGGAAAGACTTGGGGATGGGAGTGGGGGGGATTCTCCAACTGGGGGGAACCAGCATCAAAATGGTCAGTGCAGGTCTGAGTAAATAGTCTGAGGATGAGTTGCTGTTTTGAGTTTTCCAGCTGGGAGTAATAAACGTGCCATCTGGCTGATGTCCTGGGGTTCTTCCATTAATGCTTTTCCTGAAATCTAGATATATTACATCTACAGCATTCCCACTTTCTGTCTGGGAAGTTATCGCATCAAGAAAATGAATCCATGCTGACATCTCATCGTTACGGTGCTGTTTTCAAAGTGGTTACCAATCAGCTGATTAGGAAAGGGGATCTTAGGGGCAATGGTAGGCAGCTAGGTAAATATGCAGGTGCCGTGGAAAACACAAATTGTGGCCATTGTGGATAAAAATGGAAATCCAGTGCCTCATGCTTCAGATACCTGAAGGAGACACCAAGGGAGCAGAGTGGTAGAAGGAGGTTCCATAGGTGGAATAAGGGTGGAATAAGCACAGCCCGAAAGGTGAAGGGAAGGGGGCCCTTGAGAGGCACCCCGGAGCGTTAACAATTTAAAAAAAAAAATCTGTCCTCCATTATTGGATTCTTCCTGCTCAAAAGCTGTGGGTGTCCTCACCAATTTCCCTTCTCTGTTTGAGACAGGGGAACTGCCCAGGCTGGTTTGAACAGAGTGCTAAACTTGGTTAGGGTTAGTGTTAATCTGGATTAATTTCTTTTGTGGTTTAGTGAGATGCAACACCCTGGCCCGTTTACTAAGTCTATGTAGTGCAATGTTTTCCAACCTGGGCAGCTTTAAGATGGGTGGACTTCAATTCCCAGAATTCCCATGGCATGCAGGGTTGGGAATTCTGGGAGTTGAAGTCCACCCATCTTAAAGCGGCCGAGGTTGAGCAACACCGCCCCCAAGGATGCAGCCTTGCACAGGGTCAAGCCTCTTCCCGACGTTCGGTCAATGGCCCTCTTTGCCCTCTCACCCTCCAAGCAACGGAGCCCGAGGGAAAGAGCGGCTGGGAGGGTTAGCCTCTCTACCCCAGAACTCACTGCCCTGGCCGGGCAGCGCCGCGGAAGCTTCCCCAAGCACCGATTGGCTGCCGCGGGCAGGCCACGCCCACGCCCGCCCGCCCGCCCGC